GCATATAATATACGTAAACTGGGGCAGTTGAATGGCGATTTATCGAGTCTTTCCGAGCGTGTGTGCGGAGAAGTAAGCATCATCGACATAATAATTACAATAGTAATAATAATTACCGTTTTCTAGTTAAAAATATCTACACCCTAACCCCGTAAAATACTGACATTTTGTTCGTCATTATACCTACATTATAACGTTACAAGTCTTATCGACGTGGGAAGATATTATATTTGTATAATAATTCTCATTTAATAGACTGCAACGTTCAAAATGTATTATTATTAGTGTCACATTACGCAATTAATCAGCTGTTATGTTGTTTTGAAGAAAGATGGTAATTAATTAAATCGCGTTATCTTAACATTGAAAATAAATACACTTCCGATTAGGCAAATAGGTTATTACTATGGCCACAAACAATGTATAATAAGCAGCGATCACAATGTTTATGCCGCCATCATGTTGGCATGCGAGTACGTCTGCTGGTTGGTGGAAATGTGAAAGCATTTAGATTTTCACGGAGTTCCGTAATCGTTGTGCGACGTTCGTTTGCCCCTCAAACAAACCTCGTAGTGAGACACAGCGGAAATAATCGTCCAAGTTTGAAATAATAGCGATTTGAGGGGAACATTAGCAGGACACCAGCTTGATGCTTGCATAAATGTTGTCTTAAGACATTTGTTTTGCTCAAATCGTATTTATTTCAAACTCCGCTATGGTAAATTCCGCTGTGTCTCGTCACAAGGTTTCGAGACAAACGACCATCGCACAACGATCATTTGACGCAATAAAATCTAATCCACATCTATTCCACAAACTAATCGAATATTTAATAATCAAAATTTTCATAAACAAGACAGTTCAACTAATTCTCTAACCAACTGGTATTAAAATTAAATATTTTTAAAAACTATTTTGTTTATTTTTATTGCACCTGTTGGCTGTTTTTACTATAATATACTAGTTAATTAATATGTACTCAATATTGTATAAAAATAATTGTTTTATTCATCGACGATTTCTATGATATTTTCTTTAGTTTTTAATTTGTTATACAAAAGTAAAAGGACATTATTTTGAAATTTTTATACATTTATTTTAAAAATCAAAGCAGAATAATAAAGTATGTAATAAAGTGTGTATCTCTAAAGTATGTAAGTGTATTTTAAATGAATATTGACTTACAGATGTGTAATTAACAATCGTTCCTGTGGTCTAACTGACTTTCTGAAGTTAGTCTTTCTTAATTATTATAGGTCCAATTAATTGTAATAACTCTTTTAAACATTATAAATGTTGTAAACGAAAATCACGCTAAGCGTAAATATCGAGTACATCCATTTTGGAAAAAAAATTGTGAAACACGTTGTGCATTTTCATTATTCAATGATTTGTCGGATGAAAATGCACCACGTGTATCACAATTTGTTTTCCAAAATGGATGTAGGTACCCAATATTTACGCTTAGCGTGATTTTCGTTTACAACATTTATAATGTTTAAAAAATCCAAATCGTCTTTATCCGAAGACATTTTGGTGGTTACTGAAATGCTACCAGTCACTAGTCAGTTGCCACGTCAGATCAGCGAGCACTAGCTGGCTTTTCATTTGCCACTTGCCAGATCATATGCCATGCAACTTGTCACGTCTGATGCCACGTTACTTTGGTGAGCGTCGCGCCTAAATATTTTCGCCGATAGCGATGTACAACAATGGGCCAACAACCAGCAGACGTACGAGCACGCTAGCACGATGGCCGCATAAAAATTGTGGCCAGGCCCCTCCTCGGTCGTCCAGTCGCAGTCCAACTGGTGGTGGCCGCGATCGTGGCCCCGACCGCCGTCCTGACCCCCAACAAGACCACCGCCCAGACCGCTGACGTCCGCTTCTTCTAGACGCCTGGCCACGAGCGTAACGCCCCATAGGGCCGGATACCAGCGGTCCGTGGCCCGAGTCGTTACGAGCGGCAGAACAGCCTGGTCCAGCCACTGGCGCAGGTTGGCCCTGCGGGGACGCGTGTCGGCCGCAGTGGCCGTCGCTAGGTGGTCGAACAGCGCTTGATGGCAACCGGCGTCCCGGACTCCGTACAGGACCGCCCGTCCCTGGCGCCACGGCACCACCAGCGAATGTGGCCGTGTGTCGTTGTCGAAGAACGGTGCGCGGTCAGCGTACACGTCCTCGACGTCCGCGGCGCCGGCCGCCGTTTTCGTCGGAGGCGACGGCCGCAGCAAACCGTACGGGCTCACGTCCACGCCACCGCAACGTCCAGCCGACCCGTCGCCGTCACTGAGTCTAATCGTCGGTCGTGGCGTCCGTTCGGCTGTCCGCCGCATTGCCGACGACACGTCGTCGCCGGACCGCTGATCGCTCGCTATCGGTCTCGCCCAACCTCGGCCGTCCGTTTTCAAAACGTACCTGTGGACAGTGGCGTGAACGATAGTAATTACTTTAATATCTTGCTGTTATCATAATAATAAGGATAATAATCATTTACAAATAAATGTTCCGGACGAGTTGTATGATCAGTATTATCATGGCTAAATAACTATATCGTATGATCGCATTGAGACGCAATCTAGACGAACGTTACCCCAGCACCCCCACATACGATTTTCATTTTTTTTTTCGTGCAATTTAGTTATGTATTATTATGAAATATATTATATATCTATATACGGCATGATTCAGCATGGAAAGGAATCTCAGCTGGCAATGGTTTTTTGATTTATTTAGCCATGGAATTAATAATTTCGTATTTTTTCGTCAACTAATGATATGAAGTGATGGACTGCCAGTGGCGGCCATGACACCTGCGTACACGAAGTAAAATTACGATCATACCTAATCATTCAACCATGGGTTTTATGAGAGCCGCAGTTGTACCAATAATAAATAATAGTTTATTTTTTGTAGTGTTTTCAAGCGCGTGTTTCTATTCAACCAATTTTGTTTGTTTTGTTTCACTCTAATTTGAAACGACTTAAATATATAATAAGATGAAACTGTTTAACTTATTCGTGGGTACATGATGGTCCCAAAGGGTCGAAATAACGGATGCGTGTTACACGGTCGTAAACGTGTGAGTTGAGTGGGCACGGGGTAATATAGTCGTCGTAAGTCGTAACAAGATCGGATGTAAATGGTACGGAACACGTCACGGGGGAAAAAAATAGAAAAAAAGATACCCTCATTTCAGCGGTCGATCGGAGGTTCGGGTTCGTTATAACGCCGCCATGTCTGCTGTACTTACGATGTGGTCACTCCGCTGCAAGGAACTCGAGAGTAAATATTCAAATAAATACAATTTTTATAAACACTATTGTCTTAAAACGACAGCAGTAACTGCTCTCTGACATTTGGCAAAAGTTTGGTGTGTAGGTACCCCCCCCCCCAGGGCGTCCACAATGGCGATCATAGCCCGTTTTCTGGCCACCGACGACACGATATTAAAGAAAAAAAACAACAATAATAACCATGGAAAATAAATAAATAGTAGTCAGATGGTTAATATTGTTTAAGCCAAAAAGCTTTTACTCATAAATATATTATTATAAAGCAAAATATTATACTTTAACGGTAAAAAACACGTACCACGTGTGCGTTCGGAGTACATAACGATTTTATGTGTGTGAGATGGTTAACGCGTGTATTTCATTGATTTTGGTTTTGGTATAGTTAGTAGAAAAGTATAGAATTTTTAAAAGTATTCCCGTTGCGCCCATGTCTGATTTTGGTCTCAAACGTCTCGTTGATGTGAATTAACGACAATATCAATATTAATTTAAATTAACGACAACGACAATATTGATGTGAACTCAAAATCTATACACAAGGATAGTGTACTCCTGCATTAATTAAAGCTATATATGATGCTGATGATTCCTATCGTTTTAAAATAAATTAAAGAAAAAAGCGTCGGGGATAGAAATTTCAGAAATTTAAATACTTCACTCCGTCAAGTTAAGTCTGAAATTTGTCTAAAAATATACGAGTACATTAGTGATTAAATTCGTTTGAAGTGGGGATAGTATAAATTACTCTGTAAACGTGGTGTGTCTTATGGTTAGCACTAAAACTATATTTAGTGAGTGGGAGTATACATTGTTTCTTAGTTATACGTGTAGATATACGTTCAAAAGTTTTAAAAAAAGTCTTCCACATATTTTTGAAATGTGAGCTAAGGGAAGGTAGGTAGGTAGGTAGGTTTACGTGTGAAGTAGGAATATTTAGTGGTTTTTTGGTTAAGTAATCTTAATTATCATTTATGACAATTGCCATAATATTGGAAAATACGTGAGTCTAAAGATTACATTATCGAGTAATATTTATTTTTTTGTAAATATAACAGCGTAGAATCTGCAGCCATTATACAATCAAATCCTGAAGTCATCTTATATGAAAAATATGATTTTTATGGTTTTCACTATTTTGAATCACGCATTTTTTTCAATTGAAGAAACATATTTATTTATTTTTGTAAATTTCAATGTGGAAAAATCGACTTTTAAACCAATAGTTAATTAGGAATAGTAGTATAGGTAGGTATAGTTACCTATTTTTAGTAACTATTAAAAATTTTGATGAGTGAAGAAGTGAGTTAACATTTGTCCGTGTTTCTCAATGCCACTCTGCTCACCTATAACTAATCAATTACAAGTTTTAAATTAAATTATTATAAAAATATTCATTATATGCAAATAAAAATGTATGCTGTCATTCAAAAAAGTGAAAAACTTAATTAATCATTGCGATAAAAATAGAAAAAATATAAATTGTTCTCAGTAATAGAGTTTGTTAATTACTTCAAATTATGTAAAAAAAATATTTCCAGAAACGTTAATAATTTTCTAGAAAATAAATTTTCACCCTTAAAAAATCATTTTGTATATAATATCATAAGATCTGTTTGTTGGTAATAGCAAATTGTGCTCAACACCAAATATACTTTGGTTACATCATGTGCATTATATTGTCGTCTTATAAAAAATATTGATTTTTAGGTGGATTTGAGACATGCAAATGAAGTCAGCGGTTCACGAGTAGTAGACGTCGGTGTTGATTTATCCGAATTTTACGCGTCCGTCGAATGGGATATTTTAGAGGTTCCCGCAATAAGGTTAGCCTTTTGAATATTTTTTATTATATTATAATTGCATGATATGTTAATTAGCATCATTTTATAGTAGCTATGTCATATTATTACCCTTTTTACTTGCATATCATACTCACTACATAGCAATTATCAGAGAGTGTAACTATTAGTGAAGATCGTGTGTTCATCCATTTTTATAGTTTTATTGCCTCCATAGAGTTATACATTACTTATTATTTTGCAGAAGTTAAATAGTTTGAGATTTACATAGTGGTATTTTTTTTTAGTTCGTATTTATTTCAAATAAAATAAAGGTCCATACAGAATTGATATTGTCTGTTTGATGGTGTACAATCGTTTTTTTAAATCAATCATTATTTGTTATTTTTGTTATTATTTTTGCAACATATTTTCATATGTAAATAAACTACTTCACATATATTATGTAGTTTATACCATGGTACCTGCCTATTAAACTTAACGAAACTTTTGGGACCATCGCAAAATTATTAATTAATATTGTGATTTTCTCTCAGCATAGGCGTCATAAATAAAGGAGGTTTAGGTTCACTCTAATGTTATGATCTAAGCGTTTATTTCAACGTTAATAATCTAATGCTCTTTTCGTTGACTATGAACAGGTGTAATATATTTTTTTATATTACAGAAATGAGAAATATTATACTTGCTGCGAAGAACCATACTTAGATATTACATTCAATATCACGATGCGGAGGAAAACGCTATTTTACACGGTGAATTTGATCATACCTTGTATGGGGATATCGTTTCTCACGATACTTGTGTTTTACCTTCCATCCGATAGTAACGAAAAAGTAAGTGACTATTGGAAATACGTATGTTATAAGTTATGACACGCACAACACACATGAGAAATGGACATAAATAATAATATCACGAAATTAATCTTAGGTTAGTTTAAGTATTTCAATTCTACTGTCGCTGACCGTTTTCTTTCTGCTGTTAGCCGAAATCATTCCGCCCACATCACTAGTCGTGCCACTTTTGGGAAAATTTGTGCTATTTACAATGATACTTGACACGCTTAGGTGAGCTTATTATCAATACTGCGGACTATTGAACGTAAGCTTTGTAACATATTTTTCAAGGATTGTCATTGATTTTTCAGTATATGTGTGACAGTCGTTGTGTTAAATATACATTTCCGATCTCCCACTACACACGTAATGTCACCTTGGGTCCGCCGAGTATTCATTCACATTCTACCGAGAATGTTAATCATGAGAAGACCTCACTACCAAATGGAAAGGAAGAGGTAACCGTGTAATTATAATGTGTACAGCTATTTATCCAATAATAATAATAATGATGTAATTATTTAGTCTGATGGGAACATGTCATCGTATTATGGTGAGGACGTGCAACGGGCTTGAGCTTAGAGATCAAGATTCAGCTGATCAGTTATTGCACAGCAACGATGTATTTCCTGCCAGGTATAACTTAGTTCAAAGAGTACCTATACTCCAGTCGCTTATTGTATTTGTTATATCAGCTGACCCTTATATTTATATCTCTAGGGATTTGGAAAGCGGTGTAATTGGCTGCTGCGAGATTCACGGTCCAATAATAGCATTACCCAGCTCGTCCGAAATAAACCTAAACGCCCCAGTTCCTAAGGGTAGAAAACATTGGCATGATTGTCCAGAACTTCATAAGGCCGTCGAAGGCGCTGCGTACATAGCTGATTACATAAAAAAAGAAGAAGAAGAGAAAAAGGTAAAAATAATAAATATGTAATTATTTTTTGAACAACAGATAATTCAGCTTGATAGCTTAAACTTGAATATTACAATAAAAATGTTTCAAATTCTTGATTTGTTTTAGATTAAAGAAGATTGGAAATATGTGGCGATGGTGCTGGATAGATTGTTCTTGTGGATATTTACACTGGCTGTGACCATGGGATCTGCAGGGATAATTCTACAAGCACCCACTCTGTATGACAATCGGTTGCCAATCAATGTCCGGCTGTCAGAAATACTTGCCCATACACCAACAGTGAAACAGAATTATAATAACATTATGTAAAGACGATAATTGCTCAATATGGTCAACATTGGACAGGCCAGTGACATCCAACACTGGTCCAGAAGAGCGAACGGTAGAATCCTACTACCACCACCACCACAACAGCTGAGCTATAACTTATATATTACATATTATATAAAGCATTATAGTTACGATAATAAAATGCGGGATGAGGGACCAACAAATCGAGGACTGCTGGTCGTAATATGTACAATAGTGTCAATTAGATACTATTTTCATGTTCTCAAAATTAGCGAATCAAATAGATAGATATTTTTAGATAATTTGTTTATAAATCAAATATTTATGAGCAGTTTATTATATATTTATTTTAAAAAACCATAAACTAGGACCTGAATAGGTTGTAAGAGAAATATTAACTTTCTCGACTATTATTTGTCTTGTAAAAAGAAACATATAATTCATGTTATTATTATTATTATACAAAAAAAGTAATAACACTTCATAGTTATATGTACATAGTATTATGTTAACTTGTGAAAAATAAATGAATATATTTGGTGACGTTTAAATATGATGAGTTTAATTTAATTCAGATATCTAATAAACTGTCCTGATCTGAAACTTTCATCTTGTGATACAAGTTAAGGTAAAGTAGTAACTGCATCATATTATGAAAAAAATATATTGTTAAAAATGTGAACAGTTTAATTTTTTAGTATTTGATATCATATTGTATCGCTTTTTTCGTCGAAGCGGTCAACTAGTAACATTGTAATCATTGTGCAATGTAATTTACAATTTTATCATAAAACTTGAAAGTCCATTCAACGTTTATTTTTGCAGTCTCAATTGTCTGATTGATAGCCAAATCAGTCCCTTTTAAATAACCTGACGATGTGTTAATAAATGATTGAATCTGTAAAAAAAAAAACATTTGAATGAAACTTTTGATTTTTAAAAAATGACCAATTATGTTTATTACCTCATCTAACTCTTCTTTAGTTTTTATTTGAGACCCTATAACATTTACGTATTGACCTACGTGATCTCCTTTAGGTTGGAAGCTAAAAACATAAAAATTATAATAATAGTTATGAATTTACAATTTTATTTGTTCGTAATACAAAACACCTAACGGCAACTCACTATTCAGATATATCAGCAATTTTGCTATACAAAAACTCTTTTGCCACATTAAAGCCAATGTCATTGGTCGCTACGGCGTTGAATACCGTGGTAGCGTCTTGTTTGCGAATAATTGAATTTTTAAGCGACCAATTCAAGTATCTGAAAAAAAAATTGTTAAACTGTGTTGTTTTTTATATGCATGATTGATATAAATACCTGTTTAGTAACTGAATTTTCGAACTACATCCTAATGCTAAGAGGATATTTTCTTTTTCAGATCCCAAATTTGAATGCTGATAGCGTTCCCATAAAAAGTTCCATTCGTCTGCACCTCCATGTTTGATAGCTTGACAGTAAATAGTGGGTTTCAGCTCTCTTGGCAATCTAACAAATTTGGATTAAAGTTTTTATTAAGTTCAATAAACATCGATAAAACGCACATATTATTATTGTCTGGGTCGGTAATTTCCATCCACTTTCTAAACAAGTTCAGAGCTTGTTCGGTACAGTCCTTTATTTGGTGTCTGCAGGCTTCGGCAGTTATCAGATTCTTAAATTGTACTTGTTCGAAACCATTAAGTTCAACGGTCATGTCTTGGAATTTACTGTACACTGACGATAACATACGTTGCATGTAGTTCTGAAACCACGATGCGTTAAACAATAACAATACGACTAGTTACTAGTAATAACAACAGGATAATATTCAAAATATGATAAAATTACTATCAGGACTTAAAGCAGTTGATATATTGAGCGAGTAGAGCATATTATCTCTAATTAATTACTGTATAACATAAAAAATAAATTCATTTTAAGGTTATTCAGTGCACTAAATATTGTAAAATTTCATTTTGCATATTTTTGATTCTTTAATCTATAGGTACGGTATCTTTATTATGTGTGAAATATACGACATGGATGTGAGATCACAGAAATGTACAAGTGTACACTAAACAATGTTCAAAGGTAGTGTGTGAATCTCGAAAATGATGATTTCAAGTTTCAGCTCACTTAGATATCAACATTTAAATCAATACTGATTTCCAGGAGTTGACTTAATGCCTACAAATCTACCTAAAATTGGAATGGTTAAATCGATATTAATTTCCAAAAGTTACCTAAATTATTAATTGATTCAGTACAGAGGAAAATAGCAATACTTTGTTTGGTCACGTCCGACTTGTCATTAGGGAACACAGCCACTAGACGACTACCTGTTACCTCAACCGGGAGTGCCTAGGATATCATACCTTTATTCTTAAGTTAGGCTATATGACTTTAACTATTTTATTTGCAGATATTAAAACATTGTCATTTGTGAATAAATAATTAGCTCATAATTAAAAGTCTCAGAGCTCTATAATGAATAATAAAATTAAAAAATGAGTATATACTAACTTGGAACACTGCTTCATTCGGGGTCCTTTCCAGGAATTTATTTATCTTTCTCAAACCACTTATCGCAGTCTTCCACGGTGCGTACGCGCTTTCGTGTTTTAGATATTTCAAAAGTTGAAAAGTGGTCTCATAGTCTACATCACCAACCTGTGAAAAACTAAACAAATCGTCGATCAACTGTACTCGGTTTAATGTGTGTATAGTTTTGTAATTGGTTGGATCGTTCAACGTAGAAATGATACCCATCCAGTTTTGTGTATCGTATAAAACCCTGAACAAACCTAACAAAAACATACGGAAATAATAGTTTATAGTAATAGGTAACAGATTATAGTTTATTAAAGGTGTAAATTTATATATTTATATATTTATATATATTTAATATTTAAGTAATATTCCTTAATAGAAGACCTACCGGCCATCTGTATGTTATAGATGACCCATTCGTTGTCTTTGGCCAACGGCGACGTGAGGTTGTTGTTTTCGCAATTCAACCACGATTTTGCTTTTGTCTGGTTAAAGTCAGCCTCAGTAGAAGTCGTCATAGTGATTGGTATCCACCAACAGCTTTTCTTGTCTGTACTGTTTGATTTGATCGTCAGGAACCGTTCCTGAGATGCGTATAATGAAATATTCATATTATTATTTTTTTTTAACTTTAAATCTCATCTATAAATAGTAAGAAAGCAAAAAATTAAAATCATTCGTGGGTTTACCTGAGACAATGTAACAGTATCCGCGGAATAGTCTCGGACGACTTTCAATACGGGATATCCGGTTTGCAAAGTCCATGTGTCCATTATTTGTTTCACGGTGAGATTTTTGTCCAAAGTTCCTTGGCGGTGAGCTTCCTCGGTCAATGAACTCCACAAATCATCCTGTTCGGCGTTGGAAAACTTGTGTTTGTCTATGTAATTTCGAATTCCCTGTTTGAACGTATCCTCGCCAAGGAATGTGTTCATCGTGTGCAACAAAATAGAACCCTTCGTGTAAGATATCGTGTCGAAAATCTGTGCTATTTCATCAATATTTCCGACAGCTACCGACACTGGGTGTGACGATTGAAGCGAATCAACATCCAAAACGCGTAAAAAGTTTTGGACAGTTTCGACTTCGAAAGAGTTCCATTCGGGGTACAACTGTTTAGTATGAAACAAAATTTGTAAAATAATATGATAACGGTTTTACAAAATAATTAGAAATCAAACCATCCGATAGTTATGAAACTTACAAAATCCACTCCACGGGCTGATACGTAAGTGGCAAATCCTTCATTCAACCAAAGGTCGGTCCACCATTTCATGGTAACGAGATTACCAAACCATTGGTGAGCAAGTTCGTGAGCGATAGTTACGGCTACTCCATGTACGTCATTAATTGTAGCCACGTCCAAATCAATTAACAATGCGGTCTCTCTAAATGAAAATTAATGATTTTTTTAGTTTCAGTTATATTATAACCAAAAATAGTTTTTGTGTTTGAACGATAAAGAGTATATAATGTACTTATTGTATTTAAAAATTTGTTCATTTACCCCTTTTTTAAAAATTTGAAAAGCGTAAGGTTGTTTACTGTATATTTTACCTTTTTTGCCTTTTTCAATAGCTTTTTTCCAATAAACATTTTCAATATATGATTTTTTTTTAATTATTTTATAATTTACTAAAAGACACCAATTGTGAAAATATTAATTGCGGGTTTTTTATATAATATCATCGAGTATATTATATTGTACAATATGTGCATTATAATTAAGTGTACAATATTTGTACTATAATATTTACAATTTACATACTATATCAAATTACTTTTACAATAAAAGGTTAACAAATATCTAAGAACTACAATTGTTTGTGACCGAATATGGAAATGTATAGATCTAAAACAGCGACCCCCCTCCCCCTCTAAGGTATAATTTACATATTAATATGTTGATTTCAATAATAAACAATAAATAATAATAATCAATTCTGCAACATTAATATTTCGGTAGTATTGAAGTCCTTGGGATAAACAGAAATAAATAATGATTATTAGTGTCCTCCGGGCAGCGATACTTCATCGGTTGTATGTGCAGCGACGATGTTTAATTGTGGTGTGGATTCACCCAGCTGATGATAATAATTATGGATGTACGACAGCGGGGTAGCAGCTCGGCGGTAATGAACACTATTATTTACAATATATACCTAATATGTTAGAGTTAAAATTCGCGAAAAGCCGAACCAAAATTTACAACCCCCTTTCGCAAATGTGGTTTTGACTAGTTAAACCTAGAATATTATTATTCTTAAGTTCAAATGTTTAAATAAAAAAAACTAGTTTTAAGTTTTAACTGAAATGTAGGTTTCAAAAATATGATCTAGAAGTGCGCAATCGTAGGTGATAGAATTGAAACTGAGGACGGAATTTATTCTAGACAAACTTGATCCCAAGTATTGTCATATTATTCATTATCATCTTCTATTTCATCAAATAAAATATAATATATTTTATTATTATCTAGCAATCAGTAAACATTGCTATAGTTCTAAGTTTATTTCTGGCACAGTGGTGTTCATTACAGCGAAACCAGTCCCAAGCAATAATATTAATTTTCTCCACCAGGCAACAATAAAAGCAACTATGAGGACAGAACTTTATTTTTGCTGGCAACAAAACTTGTGCAACAAAAAATAAATATTGTGTAACTCTATATGCTATGATCATATAGTTTTAAATGCTGAAACAAATACTAAAATTCAATTTTTTGTTCCAAAAATTAATACATTCCTATGACTTATCTTAGTAATATTATGTACTTAGAAATAAGAAAAAAAGGAGAAAACCCTTTTCCCTTATTAAAACTAGTTTTAGTTAAAAATATAAAGTTTACTTTTGAAGATCGTTTTTCACAAGTTTGTTCTAGTTTTTACTTTTTACAATTCAAATTTCAGCCATAACTAGTTCAAACTTAAAAAATTAAGTTAAAACTACTTTGAACGTTGAGGGTATTAGTTGATTCTAGTTTAAACTTGTCAAAATCAGTTTTGAGAAAAGCTGATTGTACAATTTAGTATTATTTAATTAAAACTAGGATTTCAGATTTTAACTGTCATATATACATATATATTATGTATACTTATATATATACAGGGTGATTCACCAATCATGCTCATCCCCTTTCTTCTTCAATAATGTAGTTGTTTAAAATCTGATTTTTTAAATTTTTGAGATTTTTTGTATTACTTAAGGAGTGTCCCGTGGAGATACAAATTTCATTTTTCAAATGAAAAACCGCTTTTTAAACTGTCAATTATTCATAAATTTCACTAAAATATAACACATGTATACCTACATAATATATTGTGTAACAAGTTATAATATATAATCATGTTTTATATTGAGTCAATTCAGGTAGTTACTGATATATTGTATAGTTAAAAAAAAAAGGCTTTGGTATTTACGATATTTATAAAAAAATTACACAACTAGAAAAATGATAATAAAATAAGTCCTTGGCGGTAGTACCTATATTATTAATCTATATAAAAAATCTGATTATATATAATTAGTCGGTAAAAAAAAATATTTGTTAAAACATTGCTTGGATTTATATTTTTTAGGCAAAGTATTTAAAACCACTTGTACATTTATTACCTGCCCGTTGGTAGGCAAGTTGTATGCACCCGTGTTAATATTGATATTACAAATCGTTACAAATGAAATAACAATCGATATTTTTTATTTTATTCAATATATTTAGATCTTTACTTTGGCGAGTAACGGGATAACGGATTTAAAAAACAGGAATCATGGTGTCCGGATGATTTTCGGAAAAAGCGGAAATTTCTGTGTACATAATAGCCACATGGTAACAGTATTTGTTTAAAAATCCTTCGAGCTACAGACGATTAGACACGTGAAGTATACTCGTGGAGATGCATTTCAAAATAAAACTAGAAATTCGATTTCCAGACGCTATAAGTTTTAGTATGATGGTTATATCATATAATATTGATAAATGATAACTAATATCGGCGTGTTTTAATATTATAGGATTTATATTGTATCGGTATTTATAAATGTTCATATTTCGTACCTGTATGTGACGAGACCCCAATTCTCCATAGCACCGGCTGAAAAATCTGGTATGGCCACCATGTCTTGTTTGGACAGTGGGAATTTTTCGTCGAAATAATCTTCGTAATATTTCAAGACCTTAGGTCCCAAGTTGTTAGCAAGTTCTGTTTGATTGGCTGCGTCCTTCCTGGCGATTATACGGAACTCCACTTCGGTATCTCCACCATCCGATTTAATGTATACGAAATCTGACACCATGTATGCCACTAAATAAGTGGACATCGGCACAGATTCTTCGAATACGTCGTAAACATAACCTGGTTTCGCAGAGCTAAGACATGCAATTCGTATAATAATATCGTACAAAGTTATTCAACTAAATTAATTATATTTTTAAGATCAACAGTGTTCTTCTGACTTTATAATCCAGTATGAATAATTATGCTTACCAGGGCGTTTGGTTAACGAATTTCATATTACTAATGGCAGTCAATTCTTTTTTATGACCCAAGTTTATCTGGAAGGTCGCTTTGTACGCGGGCTCGTCAAAGCAGGGGAAAGCTCTTCGTGCGTCCGCTGGTTCGAATTGAGTTACAGCTAACCATCTGCGACATAATATTATATTTTGACGGCGAAAGCAGAAGAAACGAAATCACGAAAAATCGTTTTTTATTTTTACGCATGCAATTAATATATTAATATAATAACAAAGCACCTCGTTTGATTGCTTTCCTTGTCCACGTAACTGCTTTTGTAGTAACCTGCCAAATTGTCAGTGATGTTTCCGGTGAATAGTATGGACAGTACGTATTCATCACCGGGCTTAAAGTTTACGGTTGACTTGACGTACATAAGATCTTTCTTCGGGTCAAAGGAAACACTGCCCACTGGCAGTTTGATATTTTCACCACTGTTGGCCACAATGACATTTTTGCTATCGATCTTCAACCTGTTTGAATGCAGTACTATGGTGTCGGTGGCTTCTATGCAGGACATCTAAATACAAACGTTTATTGTAAGTGATGTTATTAAAAATCACTGTAATTTTTTTGATTTTATTAAAATTAACGTTAGACGTTGTTAGTAAGAAATTTTAATTCAGATATTTTCGAAAAAAAAATTTTTTTTTTCTTAACATTCAAAGATTATAGATTATTTCGACCAGTGTATGATATTTTATTAGATATTATTTAAATTGTAGAAAAGTTTTTCTATCGAAAATGTACATCTTTTGTTTTCATTTAAAATGCCATACATTTCTAGACATTGACTTTTCTGAAGATGGTTACATAATTATTAGTTGTCGTGACTTGTGTCACTCCGGTGCGTACTCACGCGAATATCAACCATTCCTTCAAACATGAATTTATCCTCCAAGTACGTGGTCACATCCAGCCGATAGTTAACGGGCTTAAAATTAGTTGGCAATTTGAATTCGGAACTTTCTTTCGAATTCACAACCGATCCCATGAGGGACAAAGCGATGATAAATATCATTTTAAAGCCTACAAACTTCATTCTAAACAAATTTTAAACAAGCAGAAACATATAAATAGGTAATAATAATATAAATATTAAATAGTATAAATGAATATATTTTTACACATTTTAAAATTTATTGGCAATGAACTAAGTACCTTATTGTGAGAACTCCATCGACTATAATGAACATCGGAATTATATCATATCAATACGTTAGTACTTTTGTAATGATATCAATTTACCATAATGGTTTTAAATAATAGTTTATAGATAAAAAACAGTTTATAATATAGTATTTAGTTAAACAAAAGTTACAATATAGATTAAAAACATCACATTGTCCGAGTTATATTAAGTTTTAGTACTATGCTGCCTATGTCTTATTTTCATACTAAAAAGATATCTACTAATTAACTTGTTACATACATTTAATTAATTCATATGAACCTTACGCGTGATCGATGAAATCATTTCAAAATTATTTTAATAACACAATCGCTCCGGTTGTTTGATTAGGTATCTCGCAATTATTAAATAGGTACATTTACATTTTAAACTTAACATCTACTATATTAGGTGTAACATCTTTAAAATTGTTTTGATTCTTTTTGAAATCGTCGAAATACTTTAAATAATCATTTGTCTAAAGTATGCTTTACTAATGTTGTTAATATTTGAAGTTAAAATCAAATTGATTGATCACCCATAAAAAAAAATCTGATAACTGTTCTGATGAACATTGTATAATTAAAATATTATGGAAGAGAGTGTATAACAATAAATTAAAAATATTTTTAGATAATATAAAGCATTACATTTTAACATAATCTTCAAAATGTTTCAATTATAAATATCTAAACAAACAAAATTATTCAATACTTATTTGAGTTATGCTGAAGAGGAATACAAAGTATTTATAAAATCAAATAGTGTAGCACAAACTCGAAGCACATAATATTCATTCATTACTCATAACTAATAGAAGTTGTAACAGCCGAAATGACTGACAAATGTAATTAACTATAACTATGTTGTTCATTTTCCAGTTATCTCTATTACACCATGTACTAATTAGGTACTGTTGGTGGGAATAGTTTCCATCTATAAAATTGTCACTACAATGTAATTTATTATTATATTAGTTCTTTAGTCGGATTTCTAAATTCGTTCCCCCGTCAATAACGTCCTTCATGATTTCAAATCCTATATACAAGCCAGCAAATTCACATATAATATATTATTATAACTATAATAATTCATCCCTCCGGGTCGGTGTTACAATAATATATATTATGGAGATTTATCATTCTCTTCAGTACAATATACAATACTATAAATCAAGGATGTCAAATTTTTCAAATGTTACGTGCCAAAAACTACCTGATTTTTCTTTGTCCTGTGTGCCATTAAATTACGAAAAATCTTATATACATAAGAAAAAAATTGTGCTATTATTATATTTATTATTAAACACAAAATATAACCAGTTGGCGTACAATTATGAAAATTAATTTGAAGAAAGGATTATTTTCTACGTCCTGTAGTCGTTTTCGGTTGTTTAATTAGCAAAAATGTGTTTGTTAGATGCGTATCCATATTAAACACGATTGCCCGTGGTGTTTGCGAGTTGTATATCCGTCTAAGACGTTGGCCAAAGGTGAATTTTTGTTACATTAAAACGTAATTTTTACCGAAACATGGTATTTATTTTTAACGCTAAGTGATCGAGCTAAGTCAGAAGTGGAAGCAATAACGCACCAAACGGATTATTGAATATGGCACATTAGGTAGGTAGGTATTTGTTGAAAAAAAAAAGATGTCGACATCAGAAATAATGAAATATAAGTGCACAGTTGTGCCTTACCTGAACGACAGCATGTTTTGGTTTGACGGTGATCTGGTGACAATCGTATCACTACTAAAATATTAGTGCCTACATCGTCTCTATCGATGTATGTACTCACACAATCACACAGGTAAAGAAAGAAACATAATGCAAAATAAAAAGAGACGGATTCCTAGAAACTGTAGACAACGTACGTGCGCACCACTAAGTCATTATTATTTTATTATGGAGCAATTTAAATTTAATAATGTAAAAACATTCTGTAAACGACTTTAATGCATCGCCTTAATCACAATATCATAGTAATAATTTTACTTTATTTTATTTGAAATTATTCCAACACAATCCTTTTCTTTATTTTTGTCGTTATGATCGTAAAATTTTTATCATTTTGTTTCAATTTTATGTCGTTTCATAAGCACTTCATGTGAAATTAAAAATGTTAAGTGTATTTAATAAAGTAGGGATTAAAAGTTGTCGTAGTAAAAAAATCATCATTATTAAAAAAATGTCCAGCTACAATGCTTCAAATAATATGCATTTACCGATAAAATTACAGTATAGTTGTGATCAAAAAATTATCTTGTATACCTACACTATACAGTTTACGTAACTATTTACAAATATTTATATGCATATATATTATATATGTATACGGGCATATAGTTAACGTGGTACATTTTGATCTCGTACAGTGGATGTAATTATATGTAGTGTTTTTTTTTGCGCTTGGAGTAAACGACTTTAGTACCTAGGTAATAAATATTAATTATTTTCGCCACTGCGAAGTCTTAGGAAATGGGCATGACAAGTAAACCACGACCATGTCCTCGTGGTAAGTTTATCGTTCATCGGTCGTTCATATGAAATATTGTTAATATATTTTATATTGTTTATATCTTTGTACAGCTGTTTTATTTTTCTCCGAACTTCGTAATAATACCTATAACCCTGCGGCCTGCATGCCTGCGAAATATGTACCTATATTTATGTATCAAAATATTGTAATATACCTAGTAATTAAATTAATTACCCGCAGCAGTTACTCATACCATGCAATTTCGGGGTGTAACTAATGCATTTAGTATTTAGGTTCACTCGATAAAGCATCGGGAGAGACATAAGGTCAAATATTTTAGATTTTTATTTTTTTCTCACAATCGAAGTGGGAAGTAAACGATTTAAAATATATCTAAACCGATAAGTACGTGTATAATCTTATAGGTTATGATTTGTGGGCAGTTTTAAAACCAAATAATGTGATTATAGTTGTCAATTGTCACATACCTACATTTATTATCTATACTCAGTGTTTTTTTTTTTGTGGGTATACGGCATATATCCATTTATTATTTGGAGAATTAGCGTTTACCCTGTAAAAACTAAAAGTAAGTACAAATACTCACGTATCTTAAATTATTAAAAATTAATCAATCCGTCTTGTGTATTATTAGTCATGTTATATGAAATTTATTATGAATCATCTATATATTCGTTAGAATAACCGTGTGACAAATGATTAAGATTGGTTATTACTTATTATTATCAAGAATTAGCAATTTGTGTATAACGTATTGGTATCGTTAGTCGTTAGTGACTGTGATTATTGTAGTTTTTTGTTGGTGTTGTCGCCATCATAAAGGAATAATTTAATTTCCAAGGTAATTATCATATCAAATTTTATAAAATGTTAAATTTGACCAGCTATAAGATAGTTTTTAGTACTTAGGTACATAAATAAAAAAGTAAAAAAGTTGTAAAGGTTGTGAATTTTGGAATGCGTAGTTCGTAAGAGCTAAGCAAAATAATTGTACTTGGCTTTTAAATAGTTGAAACTAGTAAGTTTTTCGCTTCTAAAATCAGAAATATTCATTTCATATTTGCATTATTACCTTAAAATCATAAATTAGAGTATATCCTATGGTTTTTATTACGAGAACAACGCTGTCTCATCACTCATCAGGCGTAAATAATAATATGCTCATAACAATTTTAAGACATAGGTTCGTCCATGGTTCATATTATAATTTACTGAAATTAAAAAAAATCAAGAACATGAAGATTACTGAATATTACATTTGTCTGATGGTTATTACGCTGGTAGGCATCACTCATCATGTGTAAGACAGACCAGGACTAATAAAGAATAAAATATAGACACACTGTTCATGTGTTTCTTTTTCGCACTCATAATATTATATATTTTTATAAACTATCGAATGTACTTAGGATTTAGGACACTTAGGTAATATCTCTTTACAAATACAGAAGCTACTATACATACTCATTATATTAATGATTAATCCAAAGTAACAAAGGAAAAATCAAAAAATCAAATGAAAATTGGAAAGCACTAAAAATTAAATTCATAAAAAAAAATGTCCTGTCTTCCAGATACAGTTTGTCCAAGCGCTGTATAGTGTACGTATAATATGTAGTTTGCCGGTCACCTAGTAGTAACTTCTGCTGTACAGCATATTGTATATTTCAAAATATTATTCGACTAAAGAATTATCTAATTTACATGCATCAAAAATAAGATAACAGATTGTATATGCCTAACCTTATTATTTTTTTTTTATTGAACTTAAACCTGGCGACTAAGGCCATTAGCTGTTGTAGGGGTTATGAACTGTGCGGTAGGGATAAGGTTGGTACTGTAGGTTGTTTTTACGATTGTTAGGGTTGTTACGGTAGGTAGCAAACACGTGTATTTGTGGCAAGGTTTTTAACTACTATGAACCCGAGTGGTCACCCATCCGGGAGCTAGTAGCTGTGGCCGTTACTTACTCCCAGTCGCATTCCGCGACTGGTAGCCGCCAACGCGCCACGCCAAGGCACTAACCTTATTTTTAAATATTATTATATACATGTTTTCACGAACATGAATAAAGGTTAGGGTACTTACAGTTATAATATTATTTTATTTAGAATAGGTAAATTAATTTATCATTTAATATTATATTATTTTAATATTTGTGGTTTTAATGTGTTATTTTTGTTAAAACATTAAATTTCGTAATTAAAAATATTTTGTTAGTTCATATTTCATTGAAACATAATGATTTCAAATAATTTTAGTACTATACCGATTATAGCATCATAATATTATAGTTGATTTGATGATTACTCAAAATAGGACATAAATAATAATTGCAAACTATCGATCGTGCATATTTATACTGATAGCATTGGACGTGGTTCTGTAGCTTTAAACGTGGACCAAGTGCTGAAGGAGAGATTAAAACAAGTAATCCACGTGCAGTAGGTATAGTTACTGCGTTTATCATATTTTCAAAATCTATATAATCCATCAAAACTTAAAACGTACAAAGTCATATTGGCTGTATACGTTCGATATAGGTATGTATATATTAAATTATACAGTTATAACTAAAACGAACAATTTAAATAAGTATAAATATTTATGTACATAGTTACAAGGTGATTCAATTCAGACATGCTAATGCCCAATTTTTTCTTTAAATGTCAATAGATATTATGTACATTAATATTAAGTAGGTACTATTA